ACATACACCTGCCCATACCATAACCCCACCACCACCATGGGCCACTCGATTCACAACATTACCCTAACCCTAACCCTAACCTACCTACGCCTATCGTAGAACAAAACATGATCCGTCTCTTAAATGTGTGTCAACCACAGACCTTATTTCCAGCTTTTTTCCAAATTCCTATGGAGAAATCCCATTGACTCTGAGACGAGGGAACCAATAGTGGTAAAATGCTAACTCACTTCTGGCTTTTAGGACTCGTCACATTACAGTTGCACCTGGTAGAGGTGGGGTTCATTTTGTTCTCCAATACAAAATCATCATTTGTTTGTTAAATGTATTATGTATAAATGATCCGAACATGCAACGTAATGTCCAGGTTATCAGATACATGTAGTGGAGTAAAAAGAACAGTGTGTTATCACTGTTAAATCTAGTTTTGTGAGAATGAAGCTAAATGTGGTGAGTAGTAATTACACACTTTTGATAATTGTTCACCAAGACCCAAGAGTAAGTCATAGTACTTGTCAAATCAGATTAAATGTTGATGTGAGATGAGCATGTCAACCATCTACTGACTTTAAATGACATCTGTCTTGCCAGTGAAATGTGGGCAAAGGCAGAGAGCAGTAACGGCAGAAATAGTAACATTTAGAAAAAAAGAGTTTGTAGTTTTGGTGGTTTTCTGGGCAAGAAAATAATGAATGTTCAGATACAAACTACTATAGTCTTTGATCGGACAATCCATTATTTTATTTTTAACCTTGTTTTTTTTAAACCAAGGTTATTGATAAAAAGCAGTCCATTAAAAAAGTATTTCTATGTTGTTGTTTTTTATCTTCAACGGTAATGGATAAGAATCAATCAGATTCTGAATTTAGTAAAATATTGTCCAAATGTATTTATTTTATTCACTTGGGCAAAAAAGGTCTATTTACAGCAAAAACATGTACACATTCAAATAAGGCCAATATTTGCACAATTTAAAAATTATATAGAAAAGAAAAACTGCCTGATTTGAACTATGAACATACTCCTGCAGCTCTGGGTCAAAGTGTTTGTCACATTCTGTTTTCTGAGGTCTCCTCTCTCTGCCGAGCAGGTGAGCTTTGACATCCCAGGACTCTGTCAGCCTGAGTACCTCTCCTACATCTGCTTCCACATCAACACCAACCTGCTGGAGCTCAGCTAGCATTAATCAAAAAAGATGAGCCACACAAAGACCAAGCAATGAGAGTCCTGTCGATCATCTGGTGGAGTGGGCCAATCAGAGCCGGGGAGACAAAGACCCTCAACTATAGAATAAAACACATCCAGTGATCCACGAGAAGATCTTTCTTTGGACGCAGAAATAACAGTCCAGCTTACAAGTGTAAATACTCATTGAACAGTGGATGCATTTTGAGTTTCTTTTCAATACAAAATCAGCTGCACATGGACTACTTTTTGTGCACATGGAACTGCGGAATAATTTAATAATACAATGACACACACTGTTATTTGAATGTTGATGTACAGCTTAAAGCATTTTAATTGAGTTTATCTTCTCAAAAAGCCATCACGGTGGGGTATAGTGTTTCTCTTTCATGAAGGTTTCACATTATATAACACTGCACAACGACTATGTAGATATCACTTTTATTTTAACATGTATTTAATCTGAATGTTTTTAATGTAATGCTTTCAATGATGGAAGAAGAACTCAGTTAATTAAGTACCACAATAGTCACTCAATGAAAATATAATAACCCAAGGATAGTTTTCATTGTCAGTTGTCATTGTCATTGCATTATTGGAAAAAAAAACGTAAAGCCTTTTGCAGCTCCAGAGGGAGCTGTGAAGTCCGATAAATTGCCTCATAATGATGTCACTTGAGTCAGCATTGGCTTGGGATTTAATACAATTGCAGGTGGAGTTAGAACGAAGTTAGCTAACTTCTGTAGCCCGTTGCTCGTCTCTGCTTGTAGCTACATAAGCCGCTAGTAGCATAACACATTGTCAACGGAATTGTCATTTGTTGAGTTGCATTGTGGGTTATGTCGGAAAGAAGAATGTATGAAATAAAATAATATTTCTCTGGTTACGCTGCATTGACTATTGTTTTTTAAGATTTTACTTTTTTTTAAAAAGATGATTCAACAATTATTAGCACTGTTAGCTAAACATGTGCAGTATTCTTTTAACTATGGACCACGAGAAGATTTTTGAGGTAGGAACACATAAAAAACCAATCATATTTGCTGCACATAATTGTTTCATTTGTTTTTCTTTTCTCTAACCTTTGATGATCTTATCATGAAATAAGAGTTTGAAGTCTAACTCTTTTAAATGTTATCACGTCAGAGTAGAAATGTCTCTTTGGTGTGACGGCTTACAACTCACTGTAGGCTACTTGATTATTTCCATGTCCTAATATTCTATACATCTAGTAGGCCTACTGTAAATACAGTAAACCGCTCATCTTTTATCAGCTGCAACATTACATTATGCTATTGAATTTTAATTAAATAATACAATATACATTTCTCAAATGGGCTGTTGAATCAGGACTTTGACATTTTGTACTTTAAGTACATTTTAATGCTAACACTTTTGTACATTAACTTTTTGAATGCAGGACTTGTAACAGAGTATTTCTACAATGTGGTTTTTACTTTTGATTCAGTAAACGATCTGTGCACTTTGTCCATCACTGGTTACTTCACCACTAAATGCTATACTGTCTCTGATCACCAGAGAGCACTGTTCGTGTTCTGTGCATGTTCACAGCTTGAGTTTGGCCTCATAAAATATATTTGATGACTTAATATGTTTGATATTGGAAGGAGTCCTTTGGATATTACCAATCCTCCACTATTGGTAATGCACCTTCAAATGAAAAAAAATACTTACCACTATAAGGAAGGGATAACATTTTGTCAGTATTAAAATGGCCTTATTTTTCCTCATTTTCAGGTTTATGTTAGTATTTATTGCCTCTACTGTGACATGTTGAAATGAGAGAGAGAGAGAGAGAGAGAGAGAGAGAGAGAGAGAGAGAGAGAGAGAGAGAGAGAGGTGGGAAGTGTTAGGGAAAGCTGGCCGCTCAAGCCGTGCTCACAGTGCATGAAACACTCTGAAGAGGAAACCTTTACGCGCAGATATAATGGACATCAATCCTGGTTACTGCGCTTTACTTTAACATGATATTCCACCTACTTGTTCGTTCAAAACAATAATAAAATGTGGACAGTTCCGAAACCGAAGTATAGAAGAGGTTCGTGCGACGAAGGGGAGATTGCTGTCAACATTGGCGGAGTCCGGGTGGAGCTTTTCGGGGATGTTTTAAACCGCTACCCGGAGAGCAGACTGGCGGAGTTGTTGAACTGCTCCACCCAAGATCACGAAGTAATATCGTCGCTTTGTGATGACTTTGATCCGGGCAGAAAGGAGTTTTACTTCGACCGAGATCCCGATGCCTTCAAGTGCATCATCGACGTTTACTACTTCGACGAAATCCACATCAAACCCGGCATCTGCCCCATCTGCTTCATCAAGGAGATGGAGTTCTGGAAAATAGACCAATACGTTTTGGATGAATGTTGTAAAAGTTACCTCAGCGAGAAGGAGGAGGAGCTGACAGAGATCGCAAACAAAGTCAAAGTGATCCTGGAGGACCTGGAGGTGGATCGGTGCATTACGCGCACCCAGCGGTGCCAGAGGTTTTTATGGAGACTGATGGAGAAACCGGGATCCTCTCTGCCGGCGCGCGTCATTGCTATCATATCCTTCCTGTCTGTCCTGGTCTCGGCGTTGGTGATGTGCATAGGCACCATCCCGGAGCTCCAGGTGAAGAATGCTGACGACAAACTGGTGGAGCACCCGACCCTGGAGGGGGTTGACACCGCCTGCATGTTATGGTTCACCGCGGAGTAGGCTACTTGCTGCGTCTCGCCTCCTCTCCGAACAAGCTGCACTTCACGCTCTCCTTCATGAACGTCATAGACTTTTTGGCCATCATGCCTTTCTACGTGGTCCTGACCCTCACCTCCCTCGGCACCGCGTCCATGATGGAGGTGGCTAACGTCCAACAGGCGGTGCAGGCGTTGCGCATCATGCGTATCGCGCGTATTTTCAAGCTGGCGCGCCACTCCTCCGGGCTGCAGACTCTGACCTACGCGCTCAAGAGTAGCCTGAAGGAGCTGGGGCTGCTCCTCATGTACATGGGGGTGGGCATCTTTGTGTTCTCAGCGCTGGCCTACACAATGGAGCAAAGCCACCCGGAGACGCTTTTCAGCAGCATCCCGCAGTCTTTCTGGTGGGCCATCATCACCATGACCACGGTGGGCTACGGAGACATCTACGCAAAAACCACGCTTGGCAGGTGCAACGTAGCCGTGAGCTTTCTATGTGGAGTTATAGCCATCGCCTTGCCCATCCACCCAATCATCAATAACTTTGTGGTGGTTTACAATAAGCAAAGGGTGTTGGAGACTGCAGCAAAGCACGAAGTGGAGCTGATGGAGCTGAAGAATGGCAGGGGCATGCGCAGAAAATGCAGTGATTGGTTCCCAAACCTTTTTCTCCTAAGGGGGCCCTTTCTCCATCGTTAGGTAAACTGATGACCACTGACTAAGTGACATATACAATGGATATTTCATGATATATTTAACAACATTGCAGAATAAGGATAGAATGTACAGTTAGTAAAAATAATGAAACTAAAACTGCGGGAAGTTTGTGTAAAATTTGCGATTTTGAGAATGTTTAATTATTTCCTGTGAATGTTGCACCAGAGATGAGTTTTCCTGTTAATTTTAGAAACTTTCATGACTATTAGGACAAATTGTTAACTTGTTGTAACTGTATACCTTTTAACTCACAGCGAGGCTGTTTACCATGAGGGAATAATTTGTGTTCTGGTTTTCACTTGCCCGTATCATGTCTATGTTTATCCATTTTAGTAACCATTTAATAAAATGTCATTAACAAAAGGCAATGCAATCATGAGTTATAAGCCAACTGTATATATTTAGAATTTTTTTTTATACAAGTTGCTGTACACTTCTTAAACTCAAGAAGGCGTTGTTGTGACCCCCGGGATGCTTTGGCGACCCCCAAGTGGGAATCAGGACCCTTACTTTGGGAACCAGAGGATTGAGAGACTGTGGAGGCAGCAAATACTTTTCCAAGACCTTTTAAAGTTTTCTTTCTGAAGGAATAAATGGTAGATGGTAAATGGACTACTTATATAGCGCTTTATCAGGTCTTCTCGACCCCTCAAAGCGCTTTACATACTGCGAGTCATTAACCCAATCATGCAGAGCAGTACCACTTGTTCTATGGAAGCTAACATTTATTCACATTCAAAAGTCACATGTTCAAATGTAATTGGGCAAAACACATTTAAAACACCACAAACCACACATGACATAATGTATTTGGTTTGCAGAGACTGTGACATTGAGACTTTTTATGGTCCTATGTTGTTTCTGTTGTTGTTTCTTTTTCAATCCATAATTTTGTTATTGCGAATGTTGTTGTTATTATTGGGTTAAAGATTGTGCATGAATAAACTCTTTACATACACTGATGCATAGACAATCATTCAAGCATCACCTGTAACATATACTTATGAGCAAGGTGGCACAAATGTATGATAAGAAATACAGAATTCTTTGGAGGGGAGTACAATCGAGTGTGATCTTGTTGACATGTTATATATTTGGTTTCAGTGCATTGGTGACACATGTATCAGTCACGGACTTGGAAAGGAGCATTGTGGGTGGATTTATAGCTGATAACATCTTAAGAAATGCCTGTTGAAAGATTGATCTATGCAGAAATATGACTAAAGCTGAGTTATATTTGGCAGCCCCCGGAAAACAAGCGTGTGATTAATCTCATCAGATTATGCTGAAGTTTGTTGTTAAAGGGATATATTTGGTGTTCTTATTTAATGGTTGAACACACTGACCAGTAAGAAGGTGTGATTTTGTATTCCCTTGGGACCGATAGGGAATGTTGGTGGGAACATTTATAAATTATGCTTTTGAATAATTCCAGGCAATAAGAAAACGTTTCGTCACAAAAAAAAAACAATCCATATTTGATATTCATTCAGGCTATCAAAACTAGGCCCTTATACATTTTCACAAGTTGCATTCACTTGCAAAAAGATAATTATAATAATATTAAAAGTAATGCAATGCTTGTTTGAACCGGTTTGACATTTCAAAACTGCAATACAATAAAAAAAAAAACTATGTTCAATTACAAATACATCATCATACGGTTCTCCCATTAATACATTCTTATATACCTATGTAGAAATTATTTAAAAATATATCTGATTCTCTGTAATTTATTATGTAACTACTATACTGTAAGTGCATCGTAAAATAAAAAAATGTAAGCTCTCGACTATCAAATACATTTTGTGGAACAAAAAGTTCAATAATTCACTCATAAAGATTTCAGATGTGTACATAAGTACAGTAAGTGTGCATAGTTATATTTTACGAGTTACTCGGAGACTAAAAGGACCGTGCAGGACAAAATACCACACATATTTATACATTAATTCAAATATTCAATAGGCTTCTTCTAGTACTACTAATTCAGTCATTGTGTGTTTGTTTCTTCCTGCAGCCATCTTGCAGGAATGATAAAAGAAGTCGCTTTAAAAACTGGTTTAAAGGCAGAGTTTGTATTGTAAGCATGAATGGGTCAGTGTCTTCTGTCCGGGTGAATGCCACTGCTGATGCTGGGAGATGTTTTCAGAGTGTGTCTTTATCAGCATGTCGCCTATGAGTTACTTTGCATTGCCTGTGACACGATGCAAGGCAGCGTTCTGTGAGAATCTGCTGTCCCCAGCGGGAAACACTTCAAAGTAAGGCTATGCACACCCACACCCTGAACTCTAAAAAACACTCCGCTCCCTCTCTCCTCCTCCTCCTCCTCCTCCTCCTCCACCCCACCCGCTGTGGCTGCATCTCACTCCTTCGTCCTGCCTCCACCTCCTCTTCCACCGTCTCTGATGATGAGCTGTCATCTTTTTAGGGCGTGCACACATCCCAAACTTCACACTTTGGAAAGTCTTTTGAATTCTGAAGGTAAAAATAGCAGGAATAACTGATTCATTTATGCAAGGATGATGGGAAATTGACATTTAAAACACATTCAAGGCTTTTATGTCAATGTCAGTTTATGGAGTAAATGTCCTTTTTTAAACATAAAAAGCATACATGGATTGAAAATAAAAACCAGCCATACTTTCTGCATTTAAATGTGAAAACGCATTGAAGGTTTATACATACAACAATCAAACAAAGCAAACAACAATAATTATATAGGAAAACAATTTAAAAACACAATAATAATAATGATAATAATAACAATAATAATAATAAATACAAAATAGAAAAGGAGGTGGTCCGACACAGGAAAGATATTGAAAATGTTTAAAAAGAAGAACAAAACACACTATTTATAGTTCATACCAACAAAAATTAAGAAAAAACAAGAAAACACCAATAACAATAAATTGAAATAATAAAATAATATAAATGTTTTTTATTGAAGACATTTAAAACATAACAATAATAATAATATAAATAATAATAATTAAAAACAAGGTGATGGGGTCCCTATCAGGAAAGAGATTGAAAGTGTTAAATACTTTTTTTTTTAAAGAAATAAAAAGATTGGACTATAGAATTATCCAAGTCTGCTGTCACTTAATATATAGATAGATATAAAGGACATGCTAGCACTGAGCCATTGAGTGCTAGCGGGAGTTTTAGTAGACATCACCAAACATTGACTTTAACAGAAACATAGCACTTTATAAATGTGAGACAAACTGACCTTCGTCCAAAAGACATCTGTGCTACTAATGCACAGTTTCTCCCAACTGTTGCTTTCCTACTGTGTTCGATCTTTGGCAAACCTGTAACACCAAACCATATGGTATAATGTGATTTAAAAATATAACCATCTGCATTTCTTGTATTCGCAACAAATTGCAGTGCAGGCAGCATATACTGTATGTCAAAGGGAAACATCAGTCAGTCAAACCCATTTCACCCCAAACAGAACTAAACCTTTCATTTATACAATTTGCAGAAATGTATAGCAACATATCCTCCTTCCACTTTTCTTTCTCTCTTTTAAAAAAGCACAACTAATTTCCCTCAGTTAGTCCCTTCTGTTGTCCATGGCCTCCAGTCTTTAAATAACAGTCTGGCTCTTGTTATTCTGCCTCGCCGAAGCCTTTTGCATGTAGAATGCACTTTGTGGGTCATTGTAACACATTTAAAATACTTTTCAATCTTATGAACCTCATTAGAATGAATCATTAAATATGTTTTTAGGTGGCCCTAACACCTTCGTTCTTTGGGTGTCAAGTGCTTTACATAACGTATATATCTATATATCCAAAAACGTGTGTTATTTACTGCTTCCTTTTACATGAAAGGACATGCATTTTCATGATATTTGACACCTGGTGCAGAAGAGATCAATTGATACCACTGTTGAAAAACACAAATCAGAATACAAATGTCTATGTGATTGATAAGTGTCTTCAGTGGTCTCATGAGCTATTTTTGACTTAATCGATGTTTATTGTGCGTGGCAGACACTCTAATCTCCTCAGTGTTCAATACTTCCCAATTTGCATTTTTCGGTGGTTTGCAATTTATTTACCTGTAGGAAAAGTTATTAAGAAAAGTTTTAAAATCTGTAGGTTTGTACGTTGATTGCTATTCTTCTTAACACATTGCTGCCACCTGCAGATCAGTGGCAAAGTGTGAAACAATTGGCAGGAATGTGAATTGGACCATCTGTGCGCCTTCCGTCTGCATATGCGTCCTTTTTGCATGTGCACAAGATACAAATAAGAGAGGGACCCACTCTCCAAACCGCTTAACATTATAACATGACAATGCCCAATAGTGGTCAAAAAGCTCAAAGTGTACCTTTAAGTTGAAGCAGTCAGGTTAATAGAACATTTCTAAGCCAAAGCCAAATGTTATCAAATATGTTTAGAAAGTCAACTTTATGTCAAGCTGAGCATTTCTACAGGGTGTGTGATTTGTTTTGAATAGTTAACGGAATTGATCTGGTTCTTTAAGCTTCTGTTTCTTATTTGCGTCAGTCAAACTTAACAAGTTATGTATCTGGTGAAAAAAATAGCCATTAAAAATAGCCACCAGAGCGAACAGCTACAGTAGATGGGATTTCTTAGGCAACAGAGGGGAACTCTATGTGGATCACATGTGGGGTGATTCAAGCCCCATATGGCGAGTCACAGTCTCCCTTCACAATAAAACCCAGAAAACTACAAGACACTGCATTTAATGGCATCTTGCTAAGAGGCAACTCAACAAAATAACTTAACCAAACAGCTAGCTTTACCCTAGTGAATAACTGGATTGATGCTAACTGTGGAATACCCGGCTAAAGAGCACAGTTGACGGAGGAAGCAAGAAAGTACAGAAAGAGAACTAAGAGAAAGTAATATAATCCTGCTTAGTCTTTATACAAGGTGTTTTACTCTGGCCTAACCATAGCACTGAGATCAGGGTTTCTAGATTCTTATGTTTTTTCTTTCTTTGGAAAGTAGTGTTAGCCAGGCTGCTAGCGTTAGCAATGTTGCTAACGATGATGTAGTAGATAATATGTTATCAATATCTCCTTTTAAGCTAATTTATTTGTAAACAAAGCACATTTTTATGGACCTTGGTGCAGTGCTTCCTCTAATGTAACTCTTTCTTTGACTCTGAAATGGTATCCCATGGCTCCATCTTGTTCCGTGTCACCACTCTCTTGAAAAACACAACACTCTAGGTCTAGGATGAACTTCATTTAATTTCAAGACATTTGAGTTTAGTTCAAACTCAGTTTAAATCTTGATTTATCAGGGAATTGGTAACGGCAACACTTCAGAGTTATTACTTTAGATTCAACAGTGCTTCAGACAGCTAAATTATTGATTATGTGAATTAATCACAGCAGCAGTATGGTGGCCTTTCAGACATCTGTTTTCAGTCTGCCAGTCTGATTCAGAGCGAGCACTCAGCCTTGCCCGCTCAATGATTGTTTTGCACTCCTCCAAGACCACCAAGGTCGCTCACAGCTGGTCACCCCGTCTTGGTTTAAGGGCGACTCGCTTCTTTCACAGAATGTGTTTTCAGGTGCGGCCGCTGGAGACTCAGTGGCCCACTGTTTTAATTTTGCACAGCACTTCTTGGTCAATGATGCATGTTCTTTCAGCAAAGGTCAATACTGATGGGGGGTTTCTTGTCCTGTTTGTTGTGTGTTCATGTTGAAGTTATTATTTAAGGCACATTTAACCTGTTAAGCCCAGGAGATCCCGCCCCCAGGGCAACAAGCAACATCTTGCAAGAAACAGCGTCTGAGGGCTTCTTAACATTTAACAAACTATGAATGTGTCATACCCACTTAACGGAAAGAGGCTCAGCTACCTGACGATATGAACCATTATTACCGAAACAAAACACAAGTCTAACGCCGAGCCTCTGAATTAGCACTAAGCGAAAGAGTGCTAACGCACTTAGCACACAACTCACGCAGGGTATCTGCAGGATTCATAGAGATGAATTTACTACCTTTTACTACCTTTTTTACTACCTCCACAATATTTTTTACTACCAACACGACATCAAGCAGCAGCCCTTTTTGGACTACTAATTATAAGGTATTAGTGTGACACTGTCACACCCGTCATACATATCAGGTACACTAATGTTTAATTGTGATCATTAAGTATTGTCATTGTCAATTGTGTTTTTTTTTTGTAGTGTTGAGTTGACCCTTAGCCCTAATAAAGTGAGTAATAACCTTGACACTTCTTAAACACATATCACTTAACAACCATAAATATTAATAATAAAGTGTCACATCACACACACTTACTCACAAACACGCATTCTCTCACAAACACGCATTCTCACACACACACACACA